AGTAATTATGGGGTACTGAGTGTAGATTAATGAGAGAGAAAAATGAATTTGAATGATTGTAGTATCAGGCTACCACAAAATTGAAAAAAGTGAAGGGGGTCTGAATACTTTCCGAATGCACTGTATGTCTCATGAGATTCTGCTAGAAACTCTCAGTGCTAAAAGTTCCAGTTATAACAAATAGTCTCCTAGTACTGTACTCATAACTCATCAATACAAATTTATTTCTTTATATCAGCAACATTCCATCACTATAATTCATCCCCCTTGATGTTAACAGGATGCTGTTAGCAATAATTACCCCTTTGGGTCCATTAAAACTTGTTCCCAGCATCTGAGTGTCATCATCCTAATTAGATTCAAACAGCTGCTTAATACTCAATAATTCATAATAATAGAATTTATTTCATTATTTAAAATGTTCATAGCAATTATCCTCAAGTTATACTTTCTTAACTCACTGTGATAAAACTTATTAGTGGCACACTGGAGTGCAAATGGTTTGAGATTTCTTTCTATATTTGACATAAATCTAACCGTTAGTCAATAGTTACCTTGTTCAAGAGTAAGTAAATAAGTTATTATACTCATAGACTATATGTGTAACACTGGATTTCAGTAGAACCTAAGAAACAAAATACACTCTTATTTAAACAGCAGAAAGAGGCTAGTATCCATGCTGTCTAAATTACTCAATAACTGGCATCTATTGATAAATTCTAAAGTACTAACTTCACACATTGATAGGAGTGAATCATCATGCACATTTATGTATGTAAAAGGCTCCTCCTGCTGTACTTTGTGTACCAGCTTAACTGAGTGTTATTTTTTTTGGACAGGATTTAGTTTTGCTGGAAAAGACAAGTACTGTATTATAAAAACTCAAAACAGCAGTCTGTTCCTTTAACAGTCAAAGTGTTAGTGATTTTAAGCAATTTATTTTTTAAATGTATATCCTACTTTAGAGCTGAACATTCAAGGTAGTTAATAATAAGTACTGTATGTATTTTTAAAAAATGCGTAAAACAAAAATATACGAAACATATCAAGTCTCAGTTCTTCAGATCAAAAGAAACAAATCTATAATTATGTTAAATGCATTGTTAAATGGTTCTTAAAAATGAACCTTGATTTAATTTTTGCATCATTGCTACCTTTTAGGTTTGTTGGCTTTATTTACAGCTATTTATTCTTAACTATAAAGGCTCCTAAGGAAGAGTAGTATAAAAATAAACAATAAGTTTGAAACAACAAGGTGGGTTTTTTCTCACCAAGAACATAATAATTAAATGTGCTTGAAAATAAAATTTAACAAGTTTTATAGGGTCAGAAAAGAAGCTATTTTACCAGTAGTCATCCATCAAACCTCAGAGGCAAATATAGAAGATAACTTCCAAAGGGAATCCTAACAGATGAAGACTATTTATATGAAAGAAGGTGGTCCTTCAGATAGCTTAATTTCATACACATAAATGGGAATACTTTCTAATTTATTTGGTGTGCAGGTTGCAGCCTGCTCTTCTGAAGCTTGAAGCACATTAGATTCCATTGATTCTGTGACAGCAAGGGTAAACACAAAGGAGCAACATTCAAGAATTACACAGTACTTGGTTTTTTGCAAGTATCTTTGGATTAGTCTACCAATATTTTAAATTCCAGGGAGGCCTGCAAGTGCTGTTTAGAACTTAGAAGTATTAAGAGTTCAAATTATTCACTACTTTAACATGATAAAAGCCACCCCCCCCACATACACATATACACACCCTGCAGAATCAAGCCAAAGTACCTTCTGATATTATAAAGTAGCCAATCAGATCACTGGGAATATTTCAAGAACAACAGATGGTAATAGTGTTTTACTACTGTTGCTGGTATTTAAGTTATGCTACCTATGATTTACGAGATAATATAAATTGATGGCCTCTATTCTCCTTGAATTATCTAATCCTCCTTTAAAAGCCATCTAAATTGGTGATCATCACCATATCTGATGCAGTGAATTCCTTAGATTAAGCATGCTTTGTGTGAAGAAGTGCTACTTTTTATTGGTCTAGAATCTCCACATGTTTAATTTCAATGGACGACCCTGAGTTTCATCATTTGAAAGAGGGTGAAAAACATGTTCTTGACCACATTTTCTTTACTTCTGTCTGCCTCACCTTACAAATCTTTACTCTGAAAAGTATACTGTAAGGGAACTGCTCTAGCCTCCTAATAATTTTAGTTATCCTTTTCTGCACATTTATTTCAAAGTCCTACCAATGTATTTTTATTATAATTTACTAGACAATCTGTGACCCATTGGATCATCCTTTCAGAGATACCTTACCTAAACAAAGAAACAGAATGACCATTGGCAGGCAAAAAAGCAGTGGGAGCAGGAGCTATTTCTGACTTCCTGCAAGCTTTCCCATTGACTTTGCTTGTGGGAAGCTGGCAGGGGGTGTTGGAAATCCCTCCTCCTCCTCCTCCTCCTCCCTGTTGAACTGCCTGTCACTTTGCTAGGGGGAGGGGGAACAAAGCGAGCCGCGGAACATGAGCAAAACTGCACCCCCTCTCCCCATCCTGGCATGTCCCCAACGCCCCCCTCCCTCCAGGGAGGAAAGGGCTCCCCCATCAACTGCCTCCCCCCCAACCAGACCTACCTCATCAGAAGACATCCAAGTTGCCTCCTCATCCTTCCCTCACCACCAGCTGGCATTAAGAGATTTCAAATTTCCTCTGTTCCAGAACAGCCAATCACTGCTTGACCATTGGGCCTTGCTGCCAGCTGATTGGGCACAGGGGCTAGAGGGACGTGGGAAAGAGGGTGGAGGTATGCCCCTCCCATCTTCCTTTGCGCCACCCAATCTATGAGTTTCTGGGAAGTGTAATCAGAAGGTGTGGCACTGAAGTGGCCACAACTTTGCCAAATTTCATTCCCATGGGAGTAATGGGTCCCAGATTTTGGACGCATTCTTTAAGTTAGCTCATTTGAGGTACTTGATTCAAAAATTGTTGCCCTATTATGCAGTGTTCGCCCATTCGCAGATTACAAACTGACAAACACAGAGTTTTAGTAGTATATAGATTTATTACAATATGTATTAATATTTTAGGATGTAGCTTAAAGAAAAGATTGCTAGCTGAAGAAGACAGCTTTATCAAAAATGATATAAGTGTATATTTAATTATATAAAGAGAAGTTCATGGAAGGTGAACAAAGAATGAACTATTTTTGAGCGTTCCCACATCATAATACTACACTGTGTTTTTCAAAGATATTTCATACTTATATTTTTCATATATATATATTATATATTTTAGTATTAAAAACAGCTTTTTGTTTATTTAAAGAGAATGATGCTTATTTTATTTGTTTACTTCAGTTAAGAATTTGGAAAGTGGCAGAAATGTACCAGGAGTAAAGAAGTTCTTTGGCCATGAAATTGTTAATGGTGAGAATATTTTACAATTATATTCAGAAGTTATTTGATGGATATAATCTTCCTGATATTTTCAGGACCTCATATTAATTAGTGTCTGTTTTCAATTTCAAATTTCCAACTAACAATGATATTTACCTTATATTCTTTAATACTGACTAAAGTATGAAAAAAGTTTTAAATATATTTTTGAATACATTTTCAATAGGGCTTTGATTTTTTCCTAAGCCTCTTAGAACATGAAGTTGAAATGAATTACTATAGAATTATTTCTCAACAAATATTGCAATTATATTGCTTTCATTTTTAATGAATCGTGCTCTATTTATAAATGAGTTACATATATGTAAAATATTTTGGTTCCTTTGGAATGTATAGACATGAAATAATCATATAGATTTCACAAAATACCTTATGACTATAATAAAGGTCTATCGGATACATTCCAACATTTTACACAAATTATTTCTAATATTTTACTGAGACCCAGTTAATCTTCATTTCCTTTAAATCACAATGTTCACAAATGAACAGGATTTAAAAGCTAGCCTGTCAAATAAAGCAATTTGGTCTAATCCTGTGCATGTTAAGGGCACTTTCATATGAGGATTTTGTACCAGTCTGAAAGCAGCATTCCCAAGCAGTATTGAAGACCTAAGTGGTTGGTGCTCTTTTTCAGAATTAACTGCATTGTAGTTTACAAAACTGCTGCAGAGCTTTTTTTTTCCTTTTTTTTTTTTTTTACTTAAGATCTTCTATTTTTCCCATTACATGGAACTTTTGTCTCATCCTTCTTTCCAATTCCCGGCTTCCTTCCTGAAAAGGAAATGCTGGTTTTATATTTCCCTCTTCCATAGCCTAGGTCAAACGTGCAAAGCCCCAGGACCCTGGTGGCGGGAGAAGCACTTTATAGATGACACAGGAGTGAAGGGATCTTTGCTGTAGGACCTACAGCAGCTGGGGATGGGAGAGTGATTTTTGCTTCTTGTTCAAGCCAGCAGATAGGAAGACAATTATGGATCACTGTCAAACTGCTCCTGAGGGTTTAGGGATTGAAAATGGTAATAGTGAGAAATGCCCTAAGGGCACATAAGTTTGCAGTTGAATTATTACTGAAGAGTTCACTGGAAGTCTTTTCCATCACATTTTTAATCCTACCTGTGCTAATAAAGAACCAGTTTATTGGAAAAAATTGATTTAGGGCTGTGTTGAATATGTAAGCTGCATAAAGCTGCACTGGAAGCTGTAAATTACCCGTGTTTAGTTTTTCTGAACCATATTTGCTTTTTCTTCTCCCTCTCTGCTGTTTCTAATCTGTCTCAAAAGCTTGAACACTTCCAAGGTGCCCTTCTCAACTTGCTGTAATTGGTGGCTCTTAGCTGCTATTGCAAATATATGAATGATGTAATCTTACCTCCTTTGACAACAGAACCAAAATGGTTTTAGGAGAGTTGATTTGGAATAAACCACTGCAGCCTCTGTTCTGTTTGCATAAAGCCTACATGTAAAATTATGTAACCCTGTTGTGGTATGTAATATGCACATTTCATAGTCTGTTGTTACTTGATTAAGCCTATTTTCTATCATGCTTTAATCCTGGCAGGTTTACTTGTTACTATGTCTGTATTCACTTTTAGTTTATGTCATCTGGTTATTAAGCGTAGTTCCTGGTTGAACTTTAAATCCGTAATAGGAGCTGTTGATCTATGTTTCAGTGCAATTGCTTGATGATCTAGAACAGTGTGCTGCAGAAAGAAACACAACTCCTGCTGGATCCAGGTACACATGAAGTTTTCATTGTTAGAAATGACTGAGATCCTGGGTATTAGGAAAAGCTATTCCCAGTGAAAAATTTTATTTGTATACTAGTGATATATCAAACCCAAGCGGATCAAGAAAATAAAAAAATTAAGGTTTCCCACTATTATAATAATGTGTGTGTATATATATGTGTGTATCTATAACATACAATACATTCACCAGCCTTCTCCAACTTAGTGTTGAAGTTCTATTACCATTATTTCCAGCCAGTCTTGCAGGCGTATTATGAACTTGGGAAATGCTATTAGATACCATCATGTTATAATTATATATTTCTCATGAACCTGCTTTACTTTAATGTCTGCAAGAGAGACTGTTCTAAATATTGTTGTGCTTTCAAGGACCTCACCCCAAAATTAGTAAACTACTGGCCAAGAAGTAGAACAATTTCCTAATGTCCTAATTCTAGATCTCCTCTCCTCCGCCTCCTTATCAGAAACAGAGATTCAGCCTAGATTCAGGTATTGTGCTAAATCATGTTTTGCCTAATCATGATTGAATCCACAAATGTTGGATTCAGACAACACGCATGCCTCAGTGCAGTATGTGAGCCTTGCTACACACACCCTTCCATGAAAGGCCAGAGTAATCAAAATAGAGATATAAGCATCTGTCCTTGAGCAAGGCAACACAGAAGGATAGTGTGGTCAATGGCATTGGTATCAAGAACTGCTGAGAGATCATACTCCTAAATCACCTATTTCTTATTCAATGCAAAAATGGTATCACTGATTGAATATGTAAGGGTAAGTTAATATCATCAGTAGGCCCATTATTGTAAGAGAGCCTTTGAACTACGTGCCTCAGTAGATAAAGCAGTCCCAGATACCCATACTTAAACCTACCCATAATCTCTAACACAAGGCTGATTGAGACATCATGTAACTCAGCTGTATTTATTTACTGCAATTTATTTGTTGTTGTAACTCAAGGCTCTAAGTAGTTTACAAACATAAGAATAAAAACAATAGTCAAATAGTAAAACAAAAACAAAAATAAAAAACCCAAAAAAACAAAACCCAACCCACCAAACCAAACCAAACCAAACCAAACCAAACCAGCAACACCTTGAGGAACAACTAACAGAAATCAAACCCATGACAGGAAGGTCTGTCACTTTGCAGGATTGGTATTGTAAAACCTCACTAATGAAGTTCATCCACCCATGCAGATCTGTGGAGATAAAAGCAGTTCATCATGAACTCTTACATTGTAACTTCTTTAGGAATATTTGGAATAGTTACATCTTAAACCTGCTGGGTTGGTACCCAGGAAGGATGGATAATTATTCTATAAACCACCTCCTTGCAGATGTGAAATTATCTATGACCCCTATGGTAGCTAAATTTTGTTTTACCGCAATGAAAATGAGGCAACAGTAGATACAAGTCTGAACATTGTTGTTTTCCTTTTTAGTTATTTTTAATGTAATTTTCTGATTGCTGATTAAAATTGATTAATAGAATAGTAGGAGGGTTCCCCCCCGCATCACAAGTCTACTCCCAGGGCTTTCTGGAATAGCAAGAACAAATAGCTTTCCAAAAAACCCTAGTAGGATGGGAGCCAATCTGATCTTGGGAGGAATGCTGTTCCAGAGAAGGAGACGCTGTGATTGTGAAGACTTGCTGTTGTAGGCAACTTTCAACTGATGGTAGCATTACCTGCTGTTTACTTGCTGAATTTTATCTTTTTCAAAATATTGTGAAATATAAATGAGAAAATTATAGGTGGCCATTTATTTTACATTCCTTTGTCTTTGGGACAAAGTCTGTATACTAAGGCTAAATTTCTTCAGTCTAATTTTTCTGCTCTAGCCATGCCTCAGGTACTGCTTTGATTTCATTATTTGACACATTAAAGTCCTTTCTGTATCATAATCTTTGCGATTGACCTTGCCTTTGGTAATGCATTCAGCTAAAGATAATGTCCTTTTTGTCTTTTGAATGATTTTTGAATGATTAGCTGATAAAGCAAGATTTGAAGAACAGTTAAGTTGTGTAGCCCTAAGAATGACCAAAAAATCATTACTGTATGTAGAACAGTTTTATGTTTGGGTTGGCTAAAATGTAACCAGCATCATGTCAGCAATTTTACTTTATTAAACATGATTCTAATTAATAATATCTTTTGCAGAGAATTTCTGTCTACTAAGTTGTCTGCAGTTGACCAAGGATCACCGCTGAAGCAAAGCACTCATAGAGCTAAAGTTGCTTCCCCAGTGAGACAGCATCTCTGTTTGGGTAATGTTAAGTTTCCCGGTAATTATCAGAAATTCAGTTGAATACTTAATTTGGAAATCATTTATATCATGCACAATGCATGAGCATCCATGGGGTGGGGTAGCTAATGATAAAATGTGTGATGACATTGACATACAAATGCTGTAATTAACATACATGTTTCAGAGATAGGGCATAAATATGTAATAGCAGCATTTGTCCGAGGATATCACCTGCATTTTGTCAATTTGACTTTATCATGGCTCACTGAGGACGTTGCTGATACCAACTTATACCATCATCTTAGGGTAAGATTGGTGGACCTACAAAGTACCTTTTTAAAACTCTGTTTAGAAACCCCTGGAACCACCCAAGATCACATTGCTGAAATTTGGTGGCAAACCTTACAACAGAAATGAGGCTTTCCACACATAGGAAAAAGAGTTGTATTAAGTTTTAGATGACTTAGAAGGTCTCAACAGGTAGCAGCACCTAGCCAACCCTAGCAGCTCTTCAAAAAATTTTACTGTCAGGCTTTACTCCAACCATTACTTGAAAGCTAGTGGATGGAGATTCAAGGACACAGCTCTTTGATTAGCTAATTTTATTACAAATATTAGAAAAGTTGGTATTAGAGAAGAAAACCAGCAATGGATAGCTATAAGCCTAAAGCCATTGAGCCCTCTCTCTCTGTTTCCCAGTCCATCCCCAAGTTAAAATCTTAACATCTCTTTTTTTCTCCCTATGTGCTGCTATGGACTAGAATGAGACCTGGTTGTTTTTCAGTGGAAGGAGTGACTGACATTTATGCATTGTTATTGCAATGGACCTATGAAATCTCAGGCTCTTTGAATCTGACTTGGTCCTCACAACTAAGTTGGGTCAGATCTGGTTCCATTTGATGGAAGAGCACCAGAAAATCCCAGGGCTGTAGGGCAGATTGTGAAGTTGAAAAGACATCCCAGAAAAAGACAAGAGTAAATCATTTTTGAATTGCTGCCAAGAACACCACGTGGATAAAGGTATATAGCCACCAAGTTTTGATCTCAGCTCAAGGGAGCCTTTGCCTTGACTTTAGGCTTAATACATCTGGAAAAAGTTAATCCATTCAAGAAACTAGAAAAAACAGAAAAAGGGAAAAGTGCAGCATCCAATATAATCTTTTGGAATTTGGTTTTCTTCAACTGACATGCATTGAACTCTCATACTGCTAAAAGGCATGTTGGGTTTTCCATTTTTTAAAATATCTATCTATTGATCTATCTACACACATACATATACTTACATGCATATACACACTGCAATAATGTGCTCAGATTCCCAGGAGTTTACAACAATAAACCAATATTTAAACCAAAACAACAGTACCATAATAATACATTTCAGCAATGCAGATGGTGCACATGCATCATTCTCCAAATACTCTCTGAAAAAACTATTTTTACTAGCTCCTGGAAAGCTGTTAGGGGCGGGCACCGATCTGACCTCAGGGTGGAAGTTGTCCCTAACATAGGGGCTGCAGTAGAAAAACAGCATGAGGCCCTGCTGCCTTATCCTCTCACTGCTGGTGACCATCAACAGATTTTGTTGGGGAGTCTACACTGGGTGAATTGATTCCTTGTGGAATGTCCAAATATTATAGTACAGAACTAATACTGGACATCTGCTAAGGAATGCTTTATTGTAAGCTTTATCATTTTTTAATTTTTTTGGTACTGTTTACGTTTTAATTGTGAGGCGCCCAGAGTCACAAATGTGAGATAGGCAGCTACAGGTAGTCCTCACTTAACAACCACAATTGGGACAGGAATTTCCTTTGCCAAGCAATGCAGTCGGTAAGTGAATCATCACATGACTGAATTGCTTAGCAACTGTAATCCCGGCACTCCTGGTTGCTGTTGTTAACCAAGAATCGCGGGTCATTAAGCAGAGGGAATCCCAGGTAAGGAGCATGGGGGGTGCAACAGAGGGGTGGGGGAAGCCTTGGGAGGCCCAATGCAGTCTGTATGCAAGTTGTGTGGTGCTGCAGTGAGGCACAAAGCCTCAGCCGCCCCAGCCTGGCCCAACAGCATTTACGACTGCAAGGGCACTACAACTCTCCACACCTGCCTATCTCCCTCCAACCTATGCCCATTTGTTCACCCTGCACAGCAGCATTCAGCTGCACTGGGGCTGGGGCTGAAGTAGAGGCCTGGGTCCTTCAGCAGTCTCAGCCAGTTGCCACTGCCCCCAGGCCTTTACTTCAGCCCCAACGCCGCTACTGGCACTGAAAAATGCCACCTCAAGCCCCACCCCACAGCCAGCCATCCCAGCACCATTGCGCAAAGCCCCAGTTGCCCTCGCTGCCCTGTGCTCCACAGCTGCCCTGTGCCCAGCTGACCTTCACTGTTTTCCTCCTGCTGCTGCCAAGGTGCGCCTGGCCTGACTGTACTGTATGCGAGGTAGCTGCCGGCCATGCCAGGCCTTCCTCCTGAGGCTGCTTGCATCATTCTCCAAGCTGCTCGCACCATTCCTTCTCCAAATTGCATGCCCCATTCTTTTTCTAAATTGCCCACCCCATTCTTTCTCCAAACTGCAAAATCCTTTGCAAACCTTCTGGTCTTCCCCAGGTCTTGGAAGAATGGGCACGCTATTTGGGGAAAGGCAGGAGCCCCATTCTTGTTGTGCTTCGGAAACCTTCTGGTCTTCCCAGGTCTCGCAAGAATGGGCATGCTATTTGGAGAAGAAATGGGATGTTTGGGTCAGGCCCTGTGTGCCTTGTCAGCAGCAGGAAGAAAACAGCGAAGGTCAGCTGGGTGCAGCAGAGCCTGTGGAGCGCTGGGCAGCAGGGGCAACTTTGCACAATGGTGCTGGGGTGGCTGGCCATGGTTTGGGGCTTGAGGCGGCATTTCTCAATGGCTACTTCTGGGGCTGAAGTAGAGGCCTGGGATAGTGGTGGCAGCAGCGGTGGCAGCTGACTAACACTGCTGAGGGTCCCAGGCCTCTACTTCAGCCCCAGAAGTAGCCATTGA